GTTCTATCCCAGCCCTATCCCAGCCCTATCCTGGTCCTATTCTGGCCTCATCCTGGTTTCCATCTCGGCCCTGTCCTGGTCCCATCCCTGCTCCCATCCCAGCCCCATCCCAGTTCCCATCCCAGTACTATATTTGTTCCCATCTGGTCCCATCCCAATCCCATCCTGGTCCCATGCTGGTTCCCATCTTGGCCCTATCCTGGCCCCATTCCAGTCCTGTCCTGGTTCCCATCCCGTTCCCATCCCATCCCCTTCCCGATCCCCACCCTGGCCCCTTCCCTGTTCCCATCCCTGTTCCCATCCTGGTTCCTATTCCAGCCCCATCCCTGTTCCCATCCTGGCCCCATGCCAGTTCCCATCTTGGCCCTATCCCAGCCCTTTCCCAGTCCCATCTCTCTTTCCATCCCTGTTCTCATCCCAGTCCTATCACTGCTCCCTTCCCAGCTCCACCTTGTTTCCCATCCTGGTCCCCATCCCAGGAATTCAGGGTTCCCAATAATCCTAAGGCTGCTGGAGCAATATTAGGGATGCCTGTCGCTGTATGTATAATTAGTTATTGTAAATCGGTGTATGAACATACAGAACAATTCTCATATACCTTATTTGTTGATATTTCTATCTATACAATGGATAGATTATACATCTACAAGGGCAAGAGTCTCCCCTCTGCCACAGCTTGGGATCCACCTCACACCCCCTGATAATGAACCATCAATAAATCCATCAGCAAAGAGCCGATCTGTGAGGTTTATTTGTGGCTGCCTCCTTCATGTCCCAAAAGTTACCAGACACAGAATAGCTCTCTTCAGACAGTTCATGTTTCATGAAATCTCAAGGTGGTGTGGGTCCTGCCCAAATTTCAGGGAGCAGGAAATTTCATTTCTCTAAAGGCTGGCCTCATGGTCAGAATGGTTCAGGTGAGCTCTCTGTGTCACCTTTGGTGCAATGTCAGAAGGAACATTGTCACTATAGAGCGTGACACAGTGCAAAGCACCACGACTCCTTCAGAAGGGTGCATAAGAGAGATTTATTACAGCAACATGTTGCCTTCATAGTTTTTCAAGATATTTACATTTACTGAACA